CACCATATAATAATTTGTCATTATAAAACGTGAAGTAATTTGTTTCACAAATTTTTTAGGAGAATGTTCGTATAGCAGCAGGTGTAGGTGCACGTAGCTTACAATATCACGGATGTTCTCATATATACATTGACGACCTTGAATATCCTGAACAAGCAGCGGAAGGGGCTTCATTGGCTATTTACCGCTATAATGAATATAAGTTGGAAAAACATCGCACACTTTCGCCACTTCTACACCTATACGACTCATCAGATGTCGATGCATGGACTCGTGGTTTATTTAAGGCAGAAGCACAGAACTTGGCTCGCCGCCTTACCGACACACCAGCAAATCGAATGACGCCAATGCACTTTGCACAGTCGGCTGTTGACGCCCTCTGCCCCTGCGGTGTGACAGTCGATGTGCAAAGCATGGAATGGATCGAGCTGCAGCGCCTTAACTCATTTTTAATGATAGCGAAGGGCTCCTGCGAACCACCAGTCTTGTTAGAAATCAATTATTGCGGCACATCACCAGAGGATAAGCCCATACTATTGTTTGGTAAAGGTATTACATTTAATAGGTAATATCATAGTAAAGTCGTATTGTATTATTATTATTCAAAATTTATGTATTCTGAACTTTAGTGGTGGTCTTTGCCTACGTAGTAGACGTGGTATGGCTGAGTACAGAGGTTCGATGGCTGGTGCAGCAGTTGTTGTAGCTACCATCCGAGCCGCAGCAGCCCTGTCTCTTCCCATCAACGTTACGGGTGTTATACCACTTTGTGAAAATACACCATCCGGTATGGCAGCCAAACCTGGTGATGTCGTCGCATTACTGAATAGGAAAACATTATCTATGCGTGTACGTAATATTTAAAAAGAACATATCTTAATTAAACTATTAAATAACTTAACTATGGTTTTAACAAATAGGATGCTGACAAGGCTGGTGTTGTTGTTATGGCGGATCCAATTCTTTACGCGCAGGCTGCTTATAAGCCACGTCTAGTTGTTGATATAGCCACTTTAAGTAAGGGAGTGGGGCAGGCTTTAGGTGGCTCAGCAACTGGGCTGTTCACTAATTCTAATTTCATCTGGAAGCAGTTCCAAAAAGCTGGAACTATAACAGGTGACAGAATGTGGCGTTTGCCGTTGTGGAACTATTTCAAGAAGCTTGTGACAAGTATATTTAAAAGGTTATATGATATTTATAGATCTCTACTAAAACGTATATTTTTCAGATAACAAGAGCTTCGATGTGAGCAACGATGGAACAGGCCCGGCTTCTGCCTGTCTTGCAGCTGCTATATTGCATGTAAGCGTTTTTTAATATTATTTTCATTCTTTCGCAAATTTTTTATTTATTATCTACTTTTATACCCCAAATATTTATACTATTGTGTTTATCGTTATATAGGAATTCGTGCCTTGTCTTGATTGGGTGCATCTTGACATACGTGGTGTGGGAATGCTCACAAAGTTTGGAACTATGCCCTACTTGTTGAAGGACAGAATGACTGGACGTCCCACTAGGACAGTTATACAATTTCTGTTTCAGATGGCCTGTCCTGATACAAAAAAGTGAAACCCTTTACAAGCAACCACACACAATTAATAAAAATTCTCCCTGTCGACACAACTGTTTTTAATGGAAAATCGTCGCAGGGCAGTAAACATCCGTATGATGTTTCAAACATGGGCAAAGAAACATTCAAAACTTTCAAAAATCTTCAAATACGGACAAAAAAATTTTTTCGTTATGAATCAAATTGTAAATATTCTAATTATAAAAATACTCTGCATGCATAACGTTTATTGGATCCTCTAAAGAATGTAGTCGACCTTCACAAAGATGAAGATGATTTTAGAAAAAAAATTTGCTGTTAATTTGGAGTAATTGAAAATAAAGTATACAGAGTTTATCGAAGTAAAATTAAGTAATGAGAAGTTCCTAAGAGCTCTTAGGAACTCCTTAATATATATTAAAAATGACGAGGACAAAAGAACAACATGGGCTAAACTTTTGAAAATTTTTGAATTGAAAATCGTTTTATAATGATATATTATATATATATACAGAATTATTTATTATATGCTAAACTAGAAAACGTATTTGATGTATACTTAAATTCGTCGTTACTAAGACGAAAGCCTAAGGAAATAAAAAAAAGACATCAAATAAACAAAACGGTTTTTAATTTTGGAGGAAATTTTTTTCGCCTTTGTCAAATTAGGTAATGACATTATTTGTCATGCATGTCCATAATAGAAAGACACTCATAGTGCAACTCACTTGAAATTTTATGCAAAAAACAGTGGTGAAGTGTCTTACCTCATGGTTTTTTCGCAGTAAGCTGTATTCGCATACGAAACAAAATTAATGCTACTTCAAAGGTAAACATGGGGACTAACTGAGTAGTCCATACAACCTTATCAACAGAGTTAAGATAAGTTATATTTTCAGTGTACTAAATAATTAAGTTCTCATAATTTTATAGTGCAATAGATTATTTAGTTCAATATCGCTGAGGAACATAACCTGACTAATTTGATTAGGCAGTTCCGTTCAGTAGTTCATCTGAAATCAAAAAATTGGTGTCACATTTTATTAAAAATATATATTTTATATCAAAATTATTGATATTACTTTTCTTTATATTCTTGATTTACTTAATTTTTAAAATTATTGTATAAATATCTTACTAAAACTAAATGAACAAAATAATATATTAATTTCAAGAACTATCCAACTAAATGAGAACACCACTTATATAAATTTTATCTATCAATTTCTACTAAAATCAAACACTAGATGTGTTAAGTGCCAAGGTATTGTCCGGAATATTAAGATCATCTTATTATGAGGATGTGGAGTTACTTACAGCACAGACATGTTAAGGCACTAATATTGATTGTTCCAGAAATTAGCAGATAGAACTTCGGGCGATGTAGATTTATATGCATGTATTTTATTACTTCTATAATACTATTATTCGTTCATTCCAATCAGAACAGTGAGTTGCACTGTATTTTACTATCATCCCAATCATTCTCCTTATCGTTCTCCTTCTCCTTATCGTTGTCTACTTCCTTAAGAATCATTATAGCTTCAAACTATAATTTCCCTTATATTTCTTTCTGCTAAATATCAAATTGATAGACCTAAAACGTATTTACTATTCTTCGAAGTAGGACCAGATTTTTGTTAAGATTTGCTTTATAATATAATTCGTTCTGATATCATATGAATTGACTGCAATATTTTTGTTGCCGAAGTGATTAAAACTGATGACACACATAAAAATCACATTAAACCTCATAATTCTAGAACAAGAGAATAATGGTTGTAACTTTAAAATGAATGCATCAGGTCGAAAGAAACTATTTTTGAAGAGCCCAATTTAGACCAAAAATTGAATGAGTCGAATACGTTTTGCAAAGCTTAGTAGTTACCAAAATAATAAAAAGTAGTATTTGAAAAAGGATGATAACTGGAATGAAGTTCACCACGGATAAGGGGTTTCTGCTGTAACCAGTTCGTGACAGTATTAAGAAAAGAAAAATTTTAAAGTTCCTGATTTTTAAAAGTTACTGTTTAATAATTAACCAAAAAGTCGAACTATATATTCTCAGAAATGTGATATATTGTGATGATATTGAAGCCAACTATGTATATTACTTACTTTCAGTTGAAAGTCTTTATAATGAAAAAGAAGTTGACTATAAATTCTAAACCCTTATTTTCCTTGAATGCAATTAAGATGGAAAATAATTATTTTTAACAGAATAGATAATACAGGATGTTCTATCGCCACTTCTAATAATATATGAAAACAAATTTCTCAAGAATTATTCAATTAATTTAAAAAGAGAGAGCGGTTGAAGTTGAAATAAATGAATAGATTTACATAGAGGCAAAAAGATTCACGTGAATCGTAGAACCCTTTCGGAAAGTTAATCTGATTAGAAATATATGTTAATTTAAGCTATAATATTTCCCTTCTATTTACCAAAAAAAGTCAATATCGATCATTATTATCTGTTATTGTTATCAATAAAAATGTTGATATTAGAATATATAAATTTTGATTTAATGTCATATCGAAATATCATCCAAACTTACCTACTTTGATTAAAAGATTTAAAGCGATTACGATAATCTATTATGTGAAAAATGAATTATACCTAACTGAAATGTATTGATAGTAAAAGCATATATAGATATATATAGATATATATATATAGATATATATAGATATATATAGATATATATAGATATATATAGATATATATAGATATATATAGATATATATAGATATATATAGATATATATAACTATAGGGTGTTTTAGACTTTATATTGCCTGGAGCAGTATATTTCCAGCGTGGGGCGTATGTGTCACAATGGGCAATATGATTATTATCTAAAGCGATTTGAAATTATACAATTAACATTATTTACTTTGAAACAGCGATAAACAGAAAATCTCGCCATTTACGAACATCATAAAGTAATATAACAATGCTTCATCAAAATAATGAGATTCATATCAGAAAAAGTGAAAAATAGAATGTTTCATTTTTCAAAAATATATAAATATTCGACTGAGGTGTTTACTTCTCCGAGCGGTTCTTGTGTATGTTACATAGACGGCATTGAATTTAATTGAAACCTTTGATGGGGCGCACTACAAAAATATATAGAAACACTGCCATAAATTCTTTTATTATTGCATGGAATGTTGCTTGTTAAACGTCGATCCTTTACAAAGTCACACCTCTAACAACTATAATATATATCCTTAAAGATAATATAAAAAAAAGGAATTATGTATGTACTTTGCATTTCATATTGTTTATTTTACTTTATTTAAGCAATATTATGAAAACACTATTAATTTTATTACAAACACAAAAGTGCTATATAAAAGCAATAAAATACTGTTTCTTTAGCGTTAAGACTATAAATACAATATATGTTGCTGAATAGGATTGATTTTTTAATATATCAGTTATTAACTATTGCAGTTTGGATTAGTTTCAACATGTGATGTACTCCGTAGATTAGATAGTTATCTAGAGATAAAAAGTTTTGAAGCCACATGAAAAAAATTTGATATTTAGTACCATTTCGAGATTTACATATAATAGCAATCGATGTTATACTAAGATAAAGTTCTATTTAATTGGTTTATTTATTTATTTAATAATAAATAATTTTATTAATTTATTTATTTAATAATAAATAATGTTATTAATTTATTTATTTAATAATAAATAATTTTTTTAATTTATTTATTTAATAATAAATAATTTTTTTAATTTATTTATTTAATAATAAATAATTTTATTAATTTATTTATTAAATAATAAATAATTTTATTAATTTATTTATTTAATAATAAGTAATTTTATTAATTTATTTATTTAATAATTAAGGATCAAAATATAAACTTTAATAGACTAGACTAACTGAATGTACAAACTTTAAAAATATGTTTACATGTCGTGTGTAATAAGTCATACATATTTCTTAACTCAATGGACTTGAATTATTCTATTAAAGGCTAAATTAATATCAGCTGTGTAATGCAAAGCCAGAAAAAAAACCAATTAAAATTTAAATTAAACAAAATCTTAAAAATGATTCAAAATCCCATTATACATTATTCATTTTTCTAGGTTCAGGTTCATAGAAGTTAAGATTTCAGTAAGAGATATAGAATTAAACCTTTATTTAAATCTCCCAATGTTTGTTATTTGGAGCGTCTCATCGTTTTTGAAAAATTTTTGAGTGATTACACTGGGCAAAATTTCCGGGTCTAAATTAATGCCAATGGTCAAAATGTACAAAATTTGCGATATTGAAGGTTTAAAGAGATGATTTAGATGTTGCAATAATCGAGGAATGACAATATTATTAGAGTGTTGCATTGTTTGAAGTTGTGTAATATTTGATTTTTTAGCGAAGTATTATATATAGAAAAGTATCTCCATCTTTTTATTTGTGCTACCAGCAGAAACGTTTTCAGGACTACCTAAATGTGCTGCAAATAGGACAGCACTAAATGGAATTCACAACAATGCCATCAAGATTTTTCTATCCTTTATCAAATCAATTATATTATAATAAATATTTATTGCTGAATGACTGATTTGAATGTTTCTATATTTTGGAGGAGTTAAGTCTAACCTCAGGTAATGGCAGAAGTATAAATGACAAAGAGTGTAAATGGCGGGGATCCAAGACTGTGTAAACAGCCTTCGATGGTGTAGTGTCCATGACCCCGTTACAAAACTAGCCAAATTATTGTCTTTGTCCAGGAATTTGGTATAAATTTCTAGAATATAGATGCATATGTATCAAGTTCCCCGAGAGTCATAAATCAAAATAAAAAGTGTACAGCGAAAAGACAACGGGCCGACCCCTGTATCTGTCTATTGTTCCATTTATTCTTATATGCATTTAAATTTGATGATTAAGTAAAAAAAAAACTATTTGTCTTTATTTTCATTTTCTAAAGTTACTCTCTAACAGAACTCGTATATCATTTAATCGTTTTCTACTACATTTCATTCTTTAAAAGTAAACTTGTATGTCTTCCTTGTATGTCAAGCAAACCCAAAAAACTTTTTTATTTTCCAGGTATTCAATTATTAATAAATATTAATTTTTGTAGAGCTTCAAGATCCCGAAAAGTTTCA